TTTAATAAATTAGCTGTTTTATAATTATAATTCTGTATAATGTTTTCATGATTCCAAAAATCAAGAAAGGGCTATCTTTAAAGAAGGCTGATATCCTTGTTAGCTCTAATCCAATTATCCTTCTCCTTTGAGAGATAACTTTTCAGGCTAATTTTAATTCATCTTTTATTCATATTTTTAAAATGCCTTTTCTGAACATTTTGTTTTTCCTACTGTGCAGAATGAAAAGTTTTAATTTCATCACTATAATCTCTGGACTTGAGTTTAGATGGACTTTTCTAGAAGCATGAAATGTGCCATGGGACTCTGGTTAAAACTTTTTGTGATTCTCGTAACTCCTTCAGAGCAGGTCCATAGCCATTCCAGGCTCAGATGCTGTGACAGTGCAAGAGTGGAGGTTAGCAGATGCTTACATGGGGTTAGTCTCTGCATCCAGAATCTACAGGGAGAGGACTCTTCAGGCTCCACCCTAATGAGTTGACTCTAAGCCAGTTTCTGGAGACTGGGCCTCAGGCATCAGAGTGCACTTATCCCCTCCCAGGTGATGCTAAGGTGCAGTCAGGATGAAGACCACTGTGTAAAAGACGAGCAAAGGGTTATCGTTACCATCTTTCTAAATTCCGTATATATGTGTTAGTATACTGTAATGGTCTTTATCTTTCTGGCTTACTTCGCTCTGTATAATGGGCTCCAGTTTCATCCATCTCATTAGAACTGATTCAAATGAATTCTTTTTAATGGCTGAGTAATATTCCATGGTGTATATATACCACAGCTTCCTCATCCATTCGTCAGCCCAGGTTGGGTGCATGAGACAAGTGCTCGGGCCTGGTGCACTGGGAAGACCCAGAGGGATCGGGTGGAGAGGGAGGTGGGAGGGGGGACCGGGATGGGGAATACATGTAAATCCATGGCTAATTCATTTCAATGTATGACAAAAACTACTGTAATGATGTAAAGTAATTAGCCTCCAACTAATAATAAAAAAAAATGTTAAAAAAAAAAAAAAGACGAGCAAAGGCTAGGATACCTAGAATCCTGATGGCTATGATTTCCCCAGATTCACCTCTTTTCCTCCTTATCTCTGGATTTTTCTCAACTCTATAGTTTGTCACCTTTCCCCCAGTTCTAAAGATTAACTGCCTATTCATTTTTTCCTACAAGCTCACTCTTTTCTGCTTGAATGTTTTACTGAAGTGTTTTTCTTTGATAGCTTGTCTATTTTTTTTCCCCCCCTGTGGATGAGATATGGGGAAGTTGGATAAGAAATGTTTCAAGTACATTAATTTGAAGGAGGAATTCTACCCACTGTGGAAGTTCTAGCATCTAACATAGCCATGCAAGAAGCTACCCTAAGAAGCAAGAGGTGCTTTCAGGTGCTTTCAGAAGGCTGGACACTCAGACTGTCTGAGAACCTTGATTAATGGACGTTGTAGTATTAAATTAGGCTCTTTTAAAGATCCTTTATGATTTCTGAGTTGTGAAGAATTCTTATGAATGAGGAAGAACTATACTCAGTTGGTTTGTGGAAAGAATAATCGTGGGGTGGTCATAGATTGATGATGTCAAAGAGGAAGGGTTTAAGGGGACAGTGTTTGACATCATTCCTGCCAATCAAGAAAATTTCAGTTTGGCTAGCTTCATGGTTGATAATGAATATTTTCTCGGTTGTTTTATTTCTTATTAGTTGATGGTGAGAATCAGGAATGTACAGGTGAGAGAATTCCTTGGTGGTGCCTGCCCACACCAGTGTACATGTGGTAGGGGCAGCTCCCGGGAATGGCTGCCACCAGTGTCTGTGTCCCCAGGGTGAGTCAGAGCCACTCCTTGCGTCTCTCAGAGACTCTCCAAGACAAGCAGAGTGCTCTGAAATTGGACTTTTTCTTGGGATTCACACAACTGTTTCATTTGGAGTTAATACTTGGAACAGAGCATTGAGCATATGCAGGAGCTAATCTTCTGGTAGCTGGAAAATCTTTTGCCTGGTTTGCCTCAGCCAGTTTTACCAAATGCCAGAAATGGAAACACAGATTACAAATGCTGCTGCCAGCTCTCCTGTTAAATGACTTCATCTCTAACCTTTCCTTGTGTATGGAGGGGATGGATTTACTTAGTCTACCTTTGATGGCCTCAGTAACTTCTGTCCTGTGTGTTCTGGAAGCTTTGAAGAATCATATTTAATATGTGTATTCTTATTCTGTATATATACTTTGGGGTTTTGTTTTCACAGTTTTTTGCTATTCACTATTTTGTTTTCTATTTTTTTGAGAAAAATTACTGGAAAATTGTTCTTTACTTGCTGGTATTTTTCATATAGAGTATAACATCAATTTTCTATTTTCAATAGTTGCAACTTATGCAAGAATGGAAATTCCTTGTACATTTCATCACTTCTCTGAATTGCCATGACTCCTCCTTGCTGGAGGCAAAGTTGTGCATGTGTGCTCAGTCAGTCAGTTGTGTCTGACTTTGTGACCCCATGGACTGTAGCCCACCAGGCTCCTCTGTCCACAGGATTATCCTGGCAAGAATACTGGAGTGGGTTGCCATTTCCTCCTCTAGAGGATCTCCCCAACTCTGGGATCAGAACTGCATCTCCTGTGTCTCGTGCTTTGAGATGAATTTCTTTCCATTGGGCCATCAGAGGAAGTACCAATATAGTGCTTAAGAATAATAAATGACTCTCCCCTCAAATTACATAAGAGTAAAGTAACAGTTCATGTTTGAAAACCTTTATCTTTGTGAAAATTTCTGTCCCAAATAAAGAATAATCATTATCAAGAAAAAGAAAAAAAATTCACCGATGAATGGAAGATATGGGCCATTAACTGGTATTAATACCTTATCAAGGCTATTTGTTCAACTGTTTTTTTTTTTCTATTTATTTGTTTAGCTGTGATAGGTCTTAGTTGCAGCACGTGGAATCTGTTCCCTGACCAGGGACTGGACCCAGGTCCCCTCCACTTCGCGTGTGGAGATGTGGAGTCTTGGCCACTGGGCCACCAGGGAAGCCCTCACTGGGTTATCAAACACTGCCTGTCAGTGAAAAATCCAGATATGTTTAGGCAGTAGTGACCTGCCTTTATTTACAGCCTCTTTTGCCAGATTTGTTACATTTATTCTTATTCTTTTTTGATGAGTGACATTACTCTTATTTCTCCTGTAATTACAAGGATGTTAAGTTCAAAGGAGTGCTGAGTAACAGAAAACAGTGATTCCCAAAGTTTGGGATGGCAGATATTACTGGTGGGCTTCTGGTGGTTTGTGGCTGCAGCACTGGACTGCCCTTGGCCATACCTGGGCTGGGAGTTCCGGTGTGTACAGTTTGATGTTCTTGGTTCTTAGTGTGGGCCTCCACATTTCCGTCTCAGGAAACTCTATAAACAGTATGTTTGGCAATCCATTGTATAAGGGACTCTTCCATGAGCTCTCTATGCCTCATGGGATGGATGACAGGACACAGTGGAAATGTATGAGAAGTGATCATTTTACTCGGTCTGATCATCTTATACTTCAACTAAATAGTGTTCCCTTTATCCTCTATAGTAGATGAAAATTTCCATGACTTTATGGAAGGAGAAGCAGTTGGTGCAGCCTGAGAATGTGTGTGTGTGTACATGTGTATAGATCAAGACAGAAATGTTGAGGTTTAATGAGACGCCCATATGAGGGACTCAGCCATCTGTTGGTAAATATCCTGATCAGATACTAGCTGGCTGAGCAGAAAATGCTTAATTATTTTGGTGTTTGGTGCTATGGATTCTCTTTCCCTTCCTGTTGTGTGTGGGTTCCTCAGGTTCAGACAGACAGAAGAGAGCTATCAAAGCAAACCTGTCAGTTGCTTCCCCTGTCTGTGTTAGTAAGGCAGGATTGCCGAAAAGGAAAAGCCCTGTTCCTGAAAGATTTCCAAAATTTTGGCATTTTGTCTTTTGAGAGGTCTGTGGAGAAAATGGCCTTGAGAGCCAAGGTGTTTACTTTTGGTGACTTGGATTCTTTGAGTGTTGGTTTTCCTTGATGGTGGAGAAGGAAGGGGACCTTCCTGGGGAGAAGTGGACCTTCAAGGAGTGACTAGAGAGAGGAAGTAGGCTGTGGGGTGAAGTGGCTGTTTGGCAGGGTGGGTAAGTGTTGCTGTTTTTTTGTCTTTTTCTTTGGGAAAGAAAGTTGCTTTCCCTAAATCTTACTCAGGGTGGAAGCCTCACTGTACTCTGAGTCAATTTGTTTAGCCTTGGGGAAGAGAGGATTGGGAACATTTCTTCCATACCAACTGCAGTGGATGGTGGATGGAGAACCACAGAAGACATGATTTTTTAGCTTGGCCTCTACCATGTTTAATTCTTTACTCCAAGGAACATTTCAACTTCTAGGGGGTAAAGGCATATTGAGGCAGTGCTCTCGGGAGCTGAGAGCCTGCAGAGCTGCCAAGCCTGGTTTCTTTGTGGTACTCCAGCCAAAGCTGGTTTCCATTCCCTTGACCTACAGGCATGTGGAGTTTGGGGCAGAAAAGAGTGGATGTGCTTGTGCTAGTGTCTTAGTTTGTAAAGATTCATGAAGAAGGTCATAAAAACGTGTCTCGCATATGTGAACCTGGTTGACTTTCTATTGGGCTGGGGCATTGAGCATACAGGGGACAGGGGCAGGCTGCCAGCAGGCTTGTTCCTGTGGAAGCAGATTTCTTACTCTTCTTCTGCCACCTTTTTCCTTATTCATCTTAAGGTTCAGTTGGTATTGAGCCTGGTTGTGGTATTTACTGAGCATCCACAGTGCACTAAGCATGATGCACTAAGGCTTTACTGTCTTTGAATGTAAAATTTTGCCTTAAGGTTAAACTGTTGCTTGCTTGTCTTATAGGAGATAGTGGATCTGTATATTTTTCTTTTAAATTAGCCATGAATGTAGCATTTTGTCAAAATGTATTTTTAACATGCTAATGCTAAAAGTAAATAATGTGTTAAGAAAAGCTGACATTTCTAATTAAGACTTTTTTTTCTCTTTTCTTTTAGGAAGGCACCAGAGTAGTTCAACCCATATTTTTTGGGAAAATGATTAGTTATGTTGAAAACTACGATCCTACCGATTCTGCTGCTTTGCATGAAGCCTACGGCTACGCGGCAGCGCTCAGCGCCTGCGTGCTCGTGTGGGCCATTCTGCACCACGTGTACTTCTATCACATTCAGCGTGTGGGGATGAAGCTGAGAGTAGCCGTGTGCCATATGATCTACCGCAAGGTGAGTGTCACGCAGTACCACAGTGTAACCTCCCCTGAAGCATCGGAAACATTTGGAGAAAGTTCTCTGTAAACTAAAAATTTCATAACTGGGATCATTTACACCTTCCCAGAGAAGCTTGCTGTTTGCATCAAGCCAAGTTTGTTGTTGTTGTTGAGGCAAACTTGACCAATAAATAATGAAAGGTTTTATTTTGAGATAAAGTGAGGGCTGCCCTTGGTAGCTTTAAGCCGTAGGCTGTTGCATAATACCCACTAAATTTGTAGTATTGAATTAATATTAAATTATATTTTAAAATATTAAATTAATATTTAAAAATAAATGTCAGTGTATCAAGTTGATTTTCAATGTCTTCATGCCTAAATCCCATAGTGCTGTTTATGGAAATTTTTTGTTGTTCATTAAAATCTTAATTTACATCAAATATTTATTAAAAGTGAACTTCAGAGATTCTATCTACAAAACTATATCTAGAAGCAGAGAATGTATTTGAGAAAACAAATGATTATAATTTTAAAAGACCCTTCCCATTATAAAGAGAATTCATGCCAAATATAGACTTACTCACTATTTTCTGTAGATGTGATTCTTGTTAATGGTATATTAAAGAAGATAGTAGAGTATTTGAGATAAAACTTGAAATTTTACACTGTTTTATTCATTCTAAAGAGAATTTATTATTCTTCATTTAAACTATTTTAATACAATATTTCCATTTATCTTTAATATGCATCATAGCACTTTTAATAAGACTGATTTTAATGTGTTCAGCGATTTTATATTGAGGAATGCCATGAAATTATTCCATAGTTTACCCTGGTCTAAACTAGTATAAAAGGAATAAGGATTTTGGGTGTCTTTACAAAGGTATTGCCACAGATACATCAGTGTCAAGAGCTGCAGTTCTCTGTGTAAACTTGATCCTGGATACCTCTTTGCCTTAGACTGTGCTTTACAAAAAAAAAAAAAAAAATCCTTATTTGACTGTATTGTAGCCTTGAAATTTTCCAAAAGAGTAGATCTTAAGTGTTCTCACCACACATGTAAAATAGGATAACTATATTATGTAGTGGATACTTTAAGTGGTTGTATTTATATAAAAATACCATGTGGTAACCTTATATATATATATATATATATATATATATATACACAAATTTTATTAATAAAGTCCTCATTGAAAGATAAAACCAAACAGCTTAAATTGAAATATTGCTTCTTTTACCTAGTTGTTACTTATCTAGAACCTCTATTTCTTCAGAATACTTCTATCAGCAGAAAGTGAGATGTCATCTCATCTTTTCTTGAGCAGAGTCTTGTACATCTTAGGACTTTGTGAACCTGGGGGTCTGGCATCTCACTGTCTTGTTTGACAGCAACATCTGAACTGGTTTCCTTCTGGGTGATGTGGAAATCACAGCGGTGCCTGCTCACTCCAGTGAGGGGTCTTCATTGTCATTTATCATCTTTGTTATCCTGTTGCATCTTTAACCACTTAGGAGATGGATACTCAAATGTCCCCACAAACTAGCTAAATGTTTGTCTTTTCATATGATGCTGATCTCATGTGAGTGATAGTCACTCACTCATATCCAACTCTTTGCAACCCCATGGACTCTAGCCTGCCAGGCTCCTCGTTCCATGGAATTCTCCAGGCAAGAATACTGGAGTGGGTTGCTATTTCCTTCTCCATAACTCTCATAACAATTATGAAATTTTACCAGAACTGCATTGCAATAACCTGTAGTTAGATGTGAGGTGATGGTTTAGTCAAAGCTCACTCTTTGCAGCATAGGTGAGCCATTGTCCACCTGTTTTTCTTCCTCTTCCCTCTAACACTTTGAAATTTTTCCTTTTGTAAATGTGATCTGACCTGGCACATTGGCTTATGTGAATGTAAACATGTCCCAAAATGTTCATTTGCTGGCTTAATTATACTTAAAAGATGGTTCCTATATGAAGTCAGCAATTGTGCAGATTATACCATAGACATAACCTGAAATTCCAGAAACCTGGGAAAAAACAAATTTCCTTGTGCACAGCCTTGCATCAAGAGTCCTATTGTTGCAGAAGCAAGATACTTCTTTTCAGGTTACAGATGGGTTGATTCCTAAGGGTCCAAAAGCTGGTGCTACAGAGTAGATCTGAAAGGCCCCTCTGAACATTTGTGGTTCATCTTGTGGGCCCCACCTCCTGATCCGTGGTCCTGGGAAGAAATCAGGTCGAGTGTTAGAAATGGAGTGGCTGCTAAGGTCATAGCCGGAGTTTGTCCTCACCATGGATTCCAGGCAGTGGCAGGTCTCCAGGAGGTCTCTAAAGCTGCACATCTGCCACTCCTAAAATGGCCCATTTAGCATTTTCATGCTCTTTGCAGCTGAATTTTGCATGATTGTGAGGGAGATATCATATATAAAAATGACTTGCCATTTACTTATTAATACATTAGCACAGATTTGGTAAAGTTACATTTGGCTTTTGATCATTGATCTTTTTTTCATTCTGGTAAAATATACACAGCATAAAGTTTACCATTTTCACTCCTTTTAAGTGCAGCATTTAGTGACATTAAGTATATTCACATTGTTGTGTGGCTATCATCATCATTCATCTCCAAAACTTTTTCTTTTTCCCAAACTGAACCTCTGCACCCATTAAACACTAAGTCCCCAACCCCTGTCCCCTCACCCAGCACCATTCTACTTCTCTCTGTGAATTTGACTATTTTAACACCTCGTGTAAGTAGAATCATATAGTGTTTGTTATTTTGTGTGTGGCTTGTGTTCTGTAGAATGATGTCTTCAAGGTTCATCCATGTCGTGGCAAGTGTCAGAATTTAATTCCTTTTTAAGGCTGAATAATATTCCATTATAGGTCTATACAACATTCTGTATATTTGCTTATCTGTCAACGGACAGTTGTTTCCACCTTTTAGCTATTGTGAACATCGCTGCCATGAATATGAGCATACAAATTATCTATTCAAGTTTGTGTTTTTAGTTTTTTTGAGTATATCCTTAGTGGTATAATTGCTGTATTGTATGTTAATTTAATGTTTAATTTTTGAGGAATATCCATATTTTCTTCCATTGTGGTTATATCATTTTAGATTCTCTCTTGATGACTGATTTTCTTCTTTAACTTGAGGAGTAAACAAAACATTTTTATAACTATGACATTTTGTTTGGATCAGTGGCTCCAATTGGTGGTGTATTGTAGCAGCTCCTGGTGTCTTTCAGTTTCCTTAGATCTCTAAGGCATTTTTCTTACTAAATAAAGGGATTGTGCAATATGGGTTGTATTTTTTGTAGATTCAGCAGACTGGCGTTAAGGACACAGCTTCCGCACAGGAACAGTGTTTTGGACATTATACTTGCCCATTTCAGAATGAATAAACTAAGCCCAAAGTGTTTAAATATTATCACCCACAGAATTAGTGATTGAGTCCAGATTTATATTCCAAGTCTCAGAATTTCTTTCCTTAAGGCAGCCTCTCCACTCATCTAATTTGACTCAAAATTACTTAGTTGTCTCTGAAGTGTAAACCTATACCCTTTACTTTCCAGACAGGCCCAAGTTCATTGAAACTTGGGGGTGAGGGGTGGGGAGGTGGGGATTTTGCTTCTACCTCCTGCTCCCCCCTTTGACATCGTTGAAGCAGGGCTGCTGCCACACTGAGGAGTTAAAGGCTGAACGAGAATCTCTAGAGCCCTGCTGTCAGGGGTCATCCTGCTCGTGCTGACACCACTCAAGACCCCAGGAACACATGCTCCATTGTGTTATGTTCTAAGATGACTTAGGCATTCAGTTCTCTGTCTCCATTTCTCATTTCAGACACTTTGCCTTAGTACCTCGGCCATGGGGAAGACCACCACAGGCCAGATAGTTAACCTGCTGTCCAACGATGTGAACAGGTTTGACCAGGTAAGCTGCCTCTAAGGGATCCTCTTCCATGTCCCGTCCTTCTCACTGGGTTCAGCTTATTGGGATGCCAGGTGCCAGAGTTTGGTGTTGGCCAGGATTCCATCAAGGATGTAAGACAAAGGTTCTATTTATCCAACTTTCATTTCTCTGTGTGCAGTTTAGATGCAATTATATGTATTGTTCAGTAAGTGACAATTTCATTTTTCTAATAATAAATAGGCAGCAGTGTTCTTGCTTGGCTTGATTAGTATTTCCAGCGGGTCTTCCTGGAGTGGCCCTTCTTGACACATGGTGTTGGTGTTGCTGCCTGAACTGTCTTCTTCCTCCTATGGATGATGAAGGCCGGGTGGGCAAGGATTCCTGTTCAGTGCCTGCTGCGTAGGAAGCCTGCGAGGAATATGCCAAGTTGGTGGTCCCCAGCCAGACACAACCTACCCTCTGTTGTCTCCCCCCACACTCTTTTCTCCACTGACCTTAGGCATAGGTCACATGACCCAGGATGTTGTAGCTGTTGGTCAGATCTGTGTTACACTAGACACTTCTCTTCAAGTATTTATTCATCAAACATGAAGTAAGGCCCATGCCCAGTTTCATGGATGAATAAAGCTTAGTTTCTGCCCTATCGAAGCCATAGCCTATCAGGGAGATAAATACATAAGTATTTACTGGAGAGAGTGGTGGGTACCATAGTATAGGGTTTCCTGGTGTGCTGGGGAGCCCCAGGGTAATGAGGGATAAATTCTGTGACAAGAAGCATTTGGGGAAGCCCTGAGCTAATCTGTGGTGTAGACAAAATCAACATCTTCCTTCAGTGCTGCTGGTAGAGTCCTCCCTGACCATCCCTGAGTCTGACCCTATGCTGCCCCAGAACAGCGTCATCTGCGGTGGACACTTGGTTTTCTGCTTCAACAGGTTTAAAACCCACTGAGATAATTTCTGTTTAAATTCCTGGCTATTCCTTCAGAGCAAAGTGTTTCTACACTGTGTCTTTGCGGTTTTGTTTTTATACCATCCCAAGAAGGCTTTGTCTTTCTCTCTTAAGGTAACAATGTTCTTGCACTATCTGTGGGTGGGACCACTGCAGGCTATCGCAGTGACCACCCTGCTCTGGATGGAAATAGGAATATCGTGTCTTGCTGGGATGGCAGTTCTCATTATTCTTCTGCTTTTGCAAAGCTGCACCGGGAAGTTGTTTTCATCACTCCGGTAAGAGAAACATAAAAATTGATAATATGTAATTGGTAACATCCACAGTATGCTTGATGCTTTTGTTGAAAAACAAGACAAATGCTTTCTCTGGTCTCTTCTTTGTGTGGGTTGTAGACCCTTCAGGCTTAGCCAGTGGAGGCTCCAGCCTTATGCTGAAGTGCATCTTGAAACAGGAACAGCTAAGGCATTCACTGGCTTCTCTTGGCGCCATATCTGAATAAGTAGAGTGTCCTTCAACAGAATTTACCCATGTCCAAATTATTTAAATATTGTTAAAATGTAATAATCTTGTAGGCCCATTTCTCACTGCATGTATTTTTGTTATGCTTGTGTTGGAGCCTTTTCAGGTATTATGTTCATGTTTCCATTAAGTTATAAGCACCCCAAGGGCCAGGCTGATCTTCATTGTGTCTTTATGAAGCCCCACATTCGCAGCAGCATATGTGACAGAAAAGTGGCTGGTGGTGAAGAGCCTTCTGGTGATGAGTTAGACCTGAAGCAGGTCCCAGAGGGTTGGAGGTGGGTGGTTTTCAGGTGACGGGGATGTTGTGCTGTTTGAAGCTAACTGAGCTCTTGTGTGTGTTGTGTGGGTGTGGTTCTGTGCCTGGTGTCTTTCTCTATTTGGAATTCCCTTTTCTCTCTTTTGTCCCTATCCTTCAAGGCCCTGTTCCAGTGCTACCAGGTTTCTGAAGCTCTTCTTGTTCTCCTTTCCTGTTGGAATTAACAGCCCCATCTTTTCTGCTCCTCAGAACTTCACTCCTATTTTATTACAGCACAGCCACTGTCTTCCTGGTCGGTTCAGGTGCCTTTCTGCCTTCCCTACCTGTCTGTGACCTCCTTGAGCAAACAGTTCGTATCTGACTCATTTTAGGTCTTCCATAGCCGATGCTGCACATTCTCCAAGTTACTTCTTGAAATGGGCTGAGTGGTTGACTTCCTAATTGAAACTTTTTTCTCGGTTAGTACTTTGAGTAGGACCTGCCTGTTTTGTAAGTGCAAAAGGACTGTAGAGAATAATTTGATTCCTGTCCACCTCGCCTGTCCCCACTCCTGCTGCTGGTGCTGAGGAAAGTTGGGCCGTGGTCACTAAGGCTCATCTCTCATGTCTGTCTCCTCAGGAGTAAGACTGCAACTCTCACAGATGACAGGATCAAGACCATGAGTGAAGCCATAACTGGCATCAGAACAATAAAAATGAATGCTTGGGAAAAGTCATTTATAGACCTTATTACCAGATTGAGAAGGTGAGTTTATTTATATATACATATATATATCACTCCATGTTTTCATGATTTATTTCCCATTCTACTGAATGCTTTAGATGTCTTACCAAATAAGTATTTAAGTTCACTTTCACATTAACGTGAACTTAAACACTTACTATTTACTGCATCCTCCACATGTTGCAGTAGGGTTAAGTAGAATGGCGGAGATGTCATTTAACCTGCTTTTCCATTTACCATCTTCTCAAAGGAAAAAAGAGTTTCCCTGGTGGCTCAGCTGGTAAATAATTCACCTTCAATGTGGTAGACCTGGATTCAATCCCTGGGTTGGGAAGATCCCATGGAGAAGGGAACAGATACCCTCTCCAGTATTCTGACCTGGAGAATTCATGGACTGTATAGTCCATGGGGTTGCAAAGAGTTGGACATGATTGAGTGACTTTCACAGAGGAAAAGATATATATGCTTCTTACTTATATAGAAATGAAATTCTGAATACTTCTTAATACCTGAAATCCCCAATAAGCAATGCTTTAAGATAGTATTTGAAACTATGATATTCAAACTAAAATTGTAATTTATGTTGATGGAGCATATATGGGGAGGTTATAGAGATCGGTTGTACCTGTGTTGAGCCAAAGTATATGAATCACTATTCTTCATTGTCATCATGCTTAGTCACTCAGTCATGTCCTACTCTTTGCGACCCCATGGACTGTGGCCTGTCAGGCTCCTCTGTCCATGGGATTTATCAGGAAGGAATATTGGAGTGGGTTGCCATTTCCTCCACCAAGGGATGTTCCTAACCCAGAGATTGAAACCATGTCTCCTGCATTGCAGGTGAATTCTTTACCACCAGAAAAGCTCATGAATCACTATTATTCATTTCAAACAGAGCTATGAAAATACTGTTCCTTTTGTTTTACTCATGTTTGTAGGATGTTTCTCCATCTTTCATTTAAATATCTGATGAGCATTTCTCTGACCCCACCTTGTTACCTCTGACTTTGCATCTTTGTGGGGACCCTCCCTCTGCTGGGAATACACTCCCATCTTCCTTCTACTCTGGCTTCCGCCAAGTAGAAGCCTGAAGATTCTAGCTCATCTTCTCAGGGTCCACGTGTGTGTGACTTGCCCTGACTCCACTGCTCTGGGGTACACGCTTCTGCTCTGGGCTCCTGCAGGGGCTGTGCTGACTGCCTCTATCTATTGTCTTTGTGTCTCACAATTTTGGGGTGTCGTATTCTCTTCCCTCACAATTTCATGAGCTCCTGGATGGGACAGACTGTGTCTTTCTGTGAGGAGCCCAGCACAAGGCTTGTGATTATGCATGTTTGTTGAATGAATGTTAGGATCCAGTCTGTTTGACCCAAAATGTTTGAAAGTGTGACATTAAGCCTCCTTTTACTTGAAGGAGTGAAGTGGTGATGACGTGTGTGGTCCTGATGTTGGGGCAGACCCCTGGGTATGCACCGGGTAGTGTCTCCATAAGGTGAGGGATGGTTTATCCTTATCTATGTCCACTCCCTAGAAAGGGGCCACTCACATGGGGTGCTGAGTTCATATCTTGTATGTTGATGCTTCTTATAAAACTTAAGTCCTACTTTCTTTTCCAGGAAGGAAATTTCCAAGATTCTGAGGAGTTCCTACCTTAGGGGCATGAATTTGGCATCATTTTTTGTTGTGAGCAAAATCATGATTTTTGTCACCTTCATCAGTAATGAGCTCCGTGACAACCTGATCACAGGCAGCCAAGTGTTCGTGGTGGTGATGCTGTTCGAGACTCTGCGATTTTCTAGCACCCTCTACTTCCCCATGGCCGTTGAGAAGATGTCAGAGGCCGTTGTCAGCATCCAAAGAATCAAGGTTTAGTGAAAAATAACTTTTTAAAGTTACAGGCAGATTTTATCTAAAATGCCTCCTTTTATGTGGTGTCACTGTGAGCCAGTTAGGCGAGATTTAACTGTTTCAGTGCCAAGCTGGCAGTCTTTCAAAAATGTCTGTATTTCTTAGGTAAAGTGCATTAAAACTGTCATAAAATACATGCTTGTTTAAGGCTGGTGGTATAAATAGCAGCAACACATGCTCTTGACCTGCAGTGATGGCTGTGGGATGATTGAAATGTCTAAAAGCAGGAGAAGCAAACAGATGCATCTGCTGTGCTGACTGGAATGACTAGGCAGTGACTGTGCACAGTCCTGGGATGACTAGGATTCCTTTCTGGGCCAGGAGGGGAGAAACTTGCTGAGAAGTCCTGTTCCCTGGGCAGGAAGAGTGGCCTCAGATTCACTTAGTTCTCTGTGTTTAAAAGTGGATTCTTTCCTCCACAGATGTTTTCTCATTGATTTCTGATCTCTGTATTTTTGTTCTTATTTTACTTATTGTGTAAGCCTGTCTCTAGCTGCCCTCTTCCTTTCAAAAGTGTGATTCCCACCATACCTATTATCTCCTTTTTAAAAACTAACTGTCCCTAAATAGTCAGGGGTAAATAATTTTTATCACAAAGACAAGGGCCTGGCAGACAGTAGGTTGTCAACTATTTCTGTTTAAAATGAAGATTAAATCAACTCTGTGAAAATGAATGATTTATTATGACCTCATAAGCCCAAGAAGTCTCTATTTTTCTCTAAGAGAGGAAGGGGGACCCATAGTCTTGGCACTGAATGACTCTAGTAGAATTGCAAAAGATCTTAACTTCAAGGCACTAAAAGTCTTCAGTGACTTTTACATCCAGTCAAATGTGTCTCTGAGGTGATATTGTTCACAAAGCAGCTTTAGGTTTTCCATTACCAGTCACTGGGAAGTCAGTCTCTTTGGCTGCCATTCTGGTGTTGATACTTTCCTACATAACCTGTTCTGGGTCTGCACTTGCTGGCTAATGGCCATTTAATTTCAGCTTTTTCATCAGCCTGAATCCTGGAGAAAAATCCAGCCAGCATTTCTGGCACCTTTATGAGCTGATCATGTATTGGATGGGGTCTCATTTAACCCTTGGAAGACTGTGACATCTGTCCCCCTCAGTAATATTATTTGTGGACAAATGCTCAGTAAATTTAGTTCTTCACTTAGGGCATAATTTTCCTTTTCTTTCTTTTGTGTTTGAAAGTGAGAAATTTCTATTCTAGTATACACAGACTGAGTATTGATGTCTTGGTTACATGCTTAAGCTGAAACTGTATTTGATTCTGTCTAGACCAGATATATAACACATGTATTACTCCCCAGGGCCCTTGGTCTTTTTAATCAATAGAAGTTTATAATAGGCCAGATGAGAAATTCAAGCAAGGTTTTTTGCAGCTTGTGCTGTATCACACAGTATAAAAACAGAAAACTGATGGTGCCTGTTGACTCAGAAGGGCAGACTAACTCCCTAAGTGGGATGAGGGTGGGGGAGGTTTGCTGGTTTGAGCCACAGGGGTGACTTATGTGGTCTGCCCACCATCTTGTAGATGCTGTGTGCTAAGATCATGTGCGGTTCCCTTCTTTGCTCCCAGAAGATCAGAAATGGCGGTTGGCTTGTGGTGTTTTTATATCTTACTGTTCGTAATTTCCTTTGCATAGATGCAGTTATGTTTAGTCCCTTATGGTTTATTTGTATTTTGTTGCTCAAGGAGATGTTTGTCCAGGTGCAAGCACTCTCACACAGGGTCCTAGGTCCCAGCCTGTCTCATCACCTGTTGCTTGTTGCTGTGTCAGCTTAGAGTTTGTAAAGCTGTAGCCATGCAGTCAGTGGTTGGATGGTTTGAACAACTGTGCAGTGTGTTCCTTCCTTTATCTGATACCCATGATGGGCTGACTGCAAGGCTCAGTCTTAGTTGGAGTTGGGACTGTAAAAGTGCATGAATGATGTAGTGTCTCCCCTCTGTGTGACTTAGTATTACTCCGGGGATTCAGAGGTAGGGAGGGCAGTGCCAGCTAGGGATATCCTGAGCTTGTTTCAGTATTGTTAGTATTTGAGATGGGCCCAGAAGTTTGGATGGGGTCAGTAATCAGGCAGAGGCCGCCTGGGGAGTCTGGACTTAGGTGCAGGTGGGTCACTGGAGAGCGGGGGTGGTGTTAAGCTTGTGGACGCTCTCTGAGGGGCTGTAAGGAGAACAGGAGGGAATTGTCTTGGGGTAGGGTCAGTGATGTTGGGGAGGACTGGGGAAGGAACCATAAAAAGAAAAGTTGCATTGTTAAAATAACTAATAATGAGTGAGATTCTGAAATTATGTTGTTTCAAGAGGAAAAGAAAATTAGGATAGACCTGAATTGTGTCAGAACAGGTGAGAGCTGGTACCTGGCTAATCATGGGAGAGGTGGTGCAGAGAGAGAACTCAGGCTATGATGGTTGAAAGCCTGCAAACGTGTCCTCAGAGCACCATCCATCCATCCTGCCTCCTGGTGGACATGGGCTCAGGGAGGGTATGAGTCTCCGTGCCTTGTGTTAGGTTCTCAGTGAGCTTGGTTGAGAGGAGGACGGAATGAATGAATTGCATCTTCCACCAGCTGATATTTGACAGAAATGCAAGGATCATGTCTTTCTTTTTCTGCACGATGGTTTTCAGATTCAGTTTTTACCAGTTCTTCTTTTGAAGTAGAAGTTCGCAATCACATTTATGATTCTGAGGCACAATAGATGGGATGTCAAGATATTTAAGATAGTAGATTACTATTTATGTGTTGTTTTCTTTCTAAAACATCCTCACATGCTTGTTTCAGTTTCCCCACTTATTGGTAAGGATTCAGTTTGCCTGTGGGTCCCAGAGGTACCCATGCTAAAGCTGCTTACAGGGGCCATTTGTTTTTCTCTCATGCAAGAATCCTTGTGAGGCTCTGAATGGGTTTCCTGGTGTTGCTGTTAGAAAGTACCGCAAACCGGGTGGCTTGAAACCATAGGAATGCAGTATTTCACAGCCCTGGAGGACAGAAGTCTGAAATCAAGGTGTCAGCAGGGTCAGGATCCCTCTGAATCTGATAAGGGAGCATAATTTCTTGCCTCTGTGAGCTTTGAGTGGTTTTAGGCAAACCTGGGCATTCCTTCACTTGTAACTGCCATCACTCCACCCTCTGTCTCCATCATCAGGTAGCTGTTTTTGGATGTGCTCTGCATCTCTCATAAGAGCACCAATCATATTGGATTCAGGGCCCACCCTACTCCACTGTGATCTTACTTTAATTAATTACATTTACAACAGCCAAATATCCAAACAAAGCCATATTTTGAAGTAATTGGAGTTAGGACTGTAGTGTATCTTTTTTTTGTGGGGATTCAATTCATCTCATAATAAGTTCCATGGTTAGTGTGATTCTCCATGGTGTTAGGGACCCAGATTCTTTCTTTCTTTTTTTAAAAAAAATAATTTATTTTTTTTTAATTGGAGGCTAATTATTTTATAATATTGTGGTGGTTTTTGCCTTACATTGACATGAATCAGCCACAGGTGTACACATGTCCCCCATCCTGAACCCCCCTCCCACCTCCCTCCCCATCCCATCCCTCTGGGTTGTTCCAGTGCATTGGCTATGAGTGCCCTGTTTCATGGATTGAACTTGGACTGGTCATGTATTTCACATATAGTAATACAAGCACAAGCTGGGATCAAGATTGCTGGGAGAAATATCAATAACCTCAGATATGCAGATGACACCACCCTTATGGCAGAAAGTGAAGAAGAACTAAAGAGCCTCTTGATGAAAGTGAAAGAGGAGAGTGAAAAAGTTGGCTTAAAGCTCAACATTCAGAAAACTAAGATCATGGCATCCAGTCCCATCATTTCATGACAAATAGATGGGGAAACAGTGGAAACAGTGGCTGACTTTATTTTTTGGGGTTCCAAAATCACTTCAGATGGTGATTGCAGCCATGAAATTAAAAGACGCTTACTCTTTGGAAGGAAAGTTATGACCAACCTAGACAGCATATTAAAAAGCAGAGACATTACTTTATCAACAAAGGCCCGTCTAGTCAAGACTATGGTTTTTCCAGTAGTCATGTATGGATGTGAGAGTTGGACTATAAAGAAAGCTGAGCGCAGAAGAATTGATGCTTTTGAACTGTGGTGTTGAAGAAGACTCTTGAGAGTCCCTTGGACTGCAAGGAGATGCAACCAGTCCATCCTAAAGGAGATCAGTCCTGGGTGTTCATTGGAATGACTGATGTTGAAGCTGAAACTCCAATATTTTGGCCACCTGATGTGAAGAGCTGACTCATTTGAAAAGACCGTGATGTTGGGAAAGATCGAAGGCAGGAGGAGAAGGGGACGACTGAGGATGAAATGGTTAGATGGCATCATTGACTCAATGGACATGAATTTGGGTAAACTCCAGAAGTTGTTGATGGACAGGGAGGCCTGGCATTCTGCGGTTCATGGGGTCACAGAGTCAGACATGACTGAGCGACTGAGCTGATTATACATGTTTCAATGCTCTTCTCTCAAATCATCCCACCCTTGCCTTCTCCCACAGAGTCTAAAAGTCTGTTCTTTGTATCTGTATCTCTTTTGCTGTCTCACATATAGGGTCATTGTTGCCATCTTTCTAATTCCACATATATATGTCAATATGCTGTATTGGTGTTTCTCTTTCTGATTTACTTCATTCTGTGTGTGTGTGTATGTTAGTCGCTCAGTTGTGTCCGACTCTGTGACCCCATGGACTGTAGCTCACCAGGCTCCTCTGTCCATGGGATTTTCCAGGCAAGAATGCTGAAGTGGGATGCTATTTCCTTCTTCAGGAGATCTTCCCTACCAAGGAATCGAACCCAGGTCTCCTGCATTGCAGGCAGATTCTTTATTCTCTGAGCTACCAGGAAAGCCACCATACCCTCTAAACAGGGTAATAGAGGATATCAAAGAGTTCATGTTGTTGGGTATCAATGATGTTGACAGAACTTTAATTGAACTTGTAAGATAGCAAGGGAAACCCTGATTAAAGCAGAAGACCACAGCAGGGCGGTAAGGTGACTGATTACTTCCACGGCAGCAAGAGTGCAAAACAGCACCTGCGATCTGAGATCCTGAATAAAACCAGAAAGCTTCACAAAGCTATATCCTCAGGACAATATGTTATCAGAGGAATATACTACCCTCCAAGGCAGCCTATCAAGAAACTTCCTGATTTAACTTTTGTATAGGGAGCTTAAGTTTCTTAGAGAATTCATAGCATGGACACAGCTGACCCTTGTGGGGACTGGAGTCTGAATTCACACTGTCTATTTGGAATAGCCTGAAAAACCTGTATGTCTTTGATCCAGGAATCCCATTTCAGAGGATCTCTCTCTGGATGGTTAGATGTACCCAAGCAAATATAAGATGTACAAGGTTATTCAACATAGCCTTGTTTGTAATAGTAAAAATGTGGAAAGAATTCAAGTGTCCAGTAGAAGGAACTGATGGATAAACTTTGGTGCATCCATACAGTGGAGTCCTAGGCAAATGTAAAAATAATGGGATGATCTCTGTGTGCTGGTGGGGAGTCATCCTGGGGCTGTTTTTTTCTTTCATTTCCCCTACTCTCCTGGCCACCACCCCCTCCTTAAAGCTGTCTTGTTAATCAAAAAAAAAAAAAAGAAAGAAAAGAAAAAATTGAAAAAGCAGGACAACATATAATATATGAGAGAGAGGGGAAGAGATGTCTTATGTAAGAAAGAGGGAAATCCCATGCATATTGCTTGTATTTGCAAAAAGAAACATTGAGAGGAGAAGTAAAAGGATAAATGATGAAAATGACTACTAGGACAGGTGGGGAGAATAAGGAAGATGGGGCGGTGGTTAAATCTCACTTGTATACTGCTTTGTACATAGTTTTGACCTTTCAACTATCTAGTTTTAAAAACTTAATTAAAACGCTCCAAAAGTCAGTAGTTAAATGCCTGGCAAATGTATATCCTTTCTGGATGAATGTGCCCACTGGCCTGAAGGACAGCAGGGTCAGGGTGGAGAAGCCTACAATCAGCAGGAAGCCTGACGGGGATGGGGCTGGTAGTGACTGCACCTTGGAGGCAAAGCGTGGGGAGTTGAGGGACTCGGAGACATTCTCTTCTAGGGGAGAAATGTTCACAAACATGAGCATCTTAGCATTCTGTATAATAGGCTACTTTTCATCCACCTCATTAGGACTGATTCAAATGCATTTTTTAATAGCTAGGTAATATCCCATGTGTATATGTACCACAACTTCCTTATCCATTCATCTGCCAATGGACATCTAGGTTGCTTCCATGTCCTAGCTATTGTAAACAGTGCTATGATGAACAATGGGATACACGTGTCTCTTTCAGTTCTGATTTCCTCAGTGTGTATGCACAGCATTGGAATTGCTGGGTCATATGGCCGTTCTATTTCCAGTTTTTTTAAGGAGTCTCCACAGTGTTCTCCATAGTGGCTGTACTAGTTTGCATTCCTCCAAAAGAGGGTTCCCATTTCTCTGCACCCTCTCCAGCATTTATTATTTGTAGACTTTTTGATAGTAGCCATTCTGAACAGCATGAGATGGTACTTCATTGTGTTTTGAGTTGCATTTCTCTGATAAAAAGTGATGTTGAACATCTTTTCATGTGTTTGTTAGCCATCTGTATGTCTTCTTTGGAGAAATGTCTGTTTAGTTCTTTGGCCCATTTTTTGATTGGGTCGTTTATTTTTCTGGTATTGAGCTGCATGAACAGCATATATATTTTTGAGATTAATTCTTTGTCAGTTGCTTCATTTCCTATTATTTTCTCCCATTCTGAAGGCTGTCTTTTCACCTTGCTTATAGCTTCCTTCATTGTACAGAAACTTTTAAGTTTAATTAGGTCCCATTTGTTTATTTTTGCTTTTATTTCCATTACTCTGGGAGGTGGATCATAGAGGATCTTGCTGTGATTTATGTCAGAGAGTGTTTTACCTATGTTTTCCTCTAGGAGTTTTATAGTTTCTAGTCTTATATTTATATCTTTGATCCATTTTGAGTTTGTTTTTGTGTATGGTGTTAGAAAGTGTTCTAGCTTCATTCTTTTACAAGTGGTTGACCAGTTTTCCCAGAACCACTTGTTAAAGAGATTGTCTTATCTCCATTGTATATTTTTGCCTCCTTTGTCAAAGATAAGGTGTCCATAGCTGTGGGGATTTATCTCTGGGCTTTATCTTTTGTTCCACTTATCTATATTTCTGTCTTTGTGCCAGTAGCATACTGTCTTGATGACTGTAGCTTTGTAGTATAGTCTGAAGTCAGGCAGGTTGATTCCTCCAGTTCCATTCTTCTTTCTCAAGATTGCTTTGGCTATTCAAGGTTATTTTGTATTTCCATACAAATTGTGAAATTATTTGTTCTAGTTCTGTGAAAAATACCATTGGTAGCTTGATTGCTCAGATTGCTTAGTCACTTCAGTCGTATCCAACTCTCTGCGGCCCCATGGCCCATGGCCCACCAGGCTTCTCTGTCCATGGGATTCTCCAGACAAGAACACTGGAGTGGGTTGCCATTTCCTTCTCCAGCGATAAAGTATGAAGTGAGTGAAGGGAGTGAAGTGAAGTTGCTCAGTCGTGTCTGACTCTTTGTGACCACATGGACTGTAGCCTACCAGGCTCCTCCGTCCATGGGATTTTCCAGGCAAGATGACTGGAGTGGGTTGCCATTTCCTTCTTCAGGTAGCTTGATAGGGATTGCATTGACTATATAGATTGCTTTGGGTAGTATATTCATTTTCACTATATTGATTCTTCCAATCCATGAACATGGTATATTTCTCCATCTACTTGTGTTATCTTTGATTCCTTTCATCAGTGTTTTATAGTTTTCTATATATGTCTTTTGTTTCTTTAGATAGATTTATTCCTAAGTATTTTATTCTTTTTGTCACAATGGTGAATGAAATTGTTTTCTTAATTTCTCTTTCTGTTCTTTCTTTCTTATTACTCCACTGTGTGTGATCTTGACCCCGCTGACAGCCCCCAAGGCCCAGGCTGGGAAGGAGGAAGGTCCTAATGCTGTCACTTGCCCCTGCCCTGGATTTAGTCACAGGGCTGCTCCTGTCTGCTCGGGAGGCTGGAGAGAGAGGGCCTCCTTCCAGGCTGCCACGTGCGGCTAAAATCTAGGGTTTGTTACCTCGGAAGAAAGAGAGCAGATTTCAAGGACAGCCAGCAGTCTCTGCCTCATGTTCACATTTTTGGGGACCTTGGAGGAGTGGGAGTGGTATAAATTGTTTGTTCGATTTCTCTACCATTCTAGCTTTTCTCTTTGAATTATGTCTAGCATTTGCAAGACTAGAGGGAGTTTTGTTTTATGTGATTCAGGTTTGTAGCAGTTCATGGGACTTTGTCTTATTTAGCTAAATTGCATTGATTAACTGCTAAGTGGTGTAGAAGATAACAAGAAATGGGAGCTGTGGCCATTCCTGTTGTGGAGGAGAGAGGGCAGAGCAGTAAATGTGAAAAGATGCTTGTAAAATATTTTTTTAAGACATAGAAACTTAAGAGCATTTTCTTTTTAGAATGATGACTTAAGCGATAGTTAATGACAAGCAGTTATGTGGTATTGACACATATGAGGGGGAAAGCAGTGTGCAGGGTTTGCATTCAGAGTCTCTGTCATTGGTCTTGTTCCTAGCCTGTCCTGTGCCATCTTATTCTGATGGCCTGGGAAGGCCTTTCTCTCTGTTCCTAGCAGTGTTGCAAGGACCTTGGCACCTGGTGGGATTCAGTTAATGTTTATGAACAATTTCCTACCAGCTCACCTGTTTATTGTTGGTAACACAAAAGTAAAACAGTAGAAATGTCCAGGTTCTAAATGTATTGGAGTTTGAAGCCATGTTTTCTTCTTAGAGAGGAACAAGTACATTTGTTGAGAAAGTAACAAAGATAGCCTCATGGCCAGGAATTCTTTATTTATCTGTTTTATACATACATACACACAGACACACACATACTATACATATGTATGTATATACTATATTATATATAGGCTACACTATATTATATGCTTATATGTACCATATACTATAATATGTACTATATACATGTCATATAGTGTTTCTCATGTGAACCAAGACTTAATAAAATACAGTTGTAAAATGATAGGTAGGTATAAATGATAGGTATAAAACTTTTTTTTGCAAATTCCAGAGGAGCAGTTGTTTTGTTTGTGCTTTGTTCTTGCAGGGTAAACAATCTATGTCTTTCCTTTTTCTCTAGAACTTTCTATTACTTGATGAGACGTCACATTGCTACCCTCAGCTGCCATCGAATGGTGAAATGATAGTGGGCGTGCAAGATTTAACAACTTTTTGGCAAAAGGTAAGAGACTCTCCATTCCAGGATCATGACTGCTAAAAGACAACTGTGATATAGATTTATTGGAGAATTTTGAGATTTTACACATACTGTTAAGTGTGACTTGCCCATTTACTGAAAATATGTTATGATAATTCTGAGAATCAGGAATAAGGTTTTCAGTGAATGGAGATTAAGTATAAAGTCAGCATGAGGTGTTTGACATGTTGCTCTCTATCTCATTTTCAACAGAGCTTTCAAAGTATTAACACATGTTGAATTGAAAGTACATAACATTCTTTTTTTAATTTTAGTTTATTTTCCATTATGTTTTATTACGGAATATTAGATGCAAATCACTGCTGTATACAATAGGATCACCTTAAACAAAAGATAGAGAGCATACATACATCTTTTCTTGAAAATCCAGATCTAATATTTTGGGCATCAGTGATTCAACTGTTTTTAAACATGGCAGTATCCTTTGGGGTTACTTATGGTTGTAAAGTAGACAGAATGCTGTAGTATTGAATGGGTTAACTAACAAATACATAACCAGTTGCTACAGACCAGAGGCTTTGAGGAATCAGTGTACATTTTCTGCCCTGATATTCTTACTATACACTGGATGAGGCCATGATTGGATCTTGGCTGTGGGATAGGGTGGGGTCTCCCCCATCCTGAGCTTCTGGATGGTTCTGGCTACTTTGGTGGCAGCCGGGGGCAGAAGACAGCAGGTGGGCATCGTGAGCACCAGAGATTCCCAGCTGAAGGGTTGCACTGTGTGGCAAGTTGACAGGGAGAATTGGCAATTTTCCAATACTTGGTTTATTTATGAAGTTCAGACAAATAGGAAAAACAACAGAGACTGCTCTCAAGAAGTCTCAAAATATCTCACTCCATGCACCCCTCTAACCAATGACTGAAACGTTCCCCCTGGTTCCCTGGTCCTCTGTGCACATCCTCGTGGATCAGTGTGGATTAGTCAGGAAAATAGAACCCACGTCATAGGAGAGGGTGTTCCATGCAGTGAATTAGTTACACAGGAGATGAAAGAGCCAAAAGGGCAAAACAGTGGTGAGTGAGACAATGCAGGGATTAGTGATAGTAAGAAGCTGCTCCCACCCACAGGGCTGGAGGGACTCAGGGAGGAGGTGCCTCTGTTAGAGGGTCCACTATCTGGAGCAGAGCCCAGGCGCCCAGCTGCTGTCAGAATGGGGACCACAGGGCAAGTGCCCAGACTGCAGCCTCCTCCTGTCTTTCATGCCTGTGACTCTGCTGTGACATCTGCATCATGTTCACCGGCTTCTGATTCATCACCTGCTATCCCCACCATCGGGCTTTCCTGGTGGCTCAGAAGGTAAAGAATCCACCTGCAATGCAGGAGATCTGGGTTCCATCCCTGGGTCAGGAAGATCCTCTGGAGAAGGAAATGGCAACCCACTCCCGTATTCTTACCTGGGAAATCCCTGGGAAACAGAGGAGACTGGCAGGCTATGGTCCATGTGGTCACTAAGAGGTAGTCACTACTAAGTGATTGGGCACACATACCCACCAACAGAACAGTAGTATGTTCTCAAATATATAAAATTGCATCCCCATACTTTTTGCACGTGGAAACACACAGGGTGCCTGACCGACCGTGACAGCGTCTCCTACTTTAATACAATAGATTACCTCCTGCTTGGTATTTTTCATCATAATACACTTGAAGCATATATAAAAATCACCATTAAAGTTTCATTATAATGGCAGACTCTATACTTTGAATGATCTGTTACCAAATTTCTTTTGTAGTAAACTATGAAACATTATAAAAAAGAGCTGTTTTGTTCTTCTTCCAAGATTTTAGTAACATGTTCTCAGACTTCTGTGCAAATCGCATTGTAGTGGAGAACACCCTGTTCTGTTGTCCTGGCCTTGCCTATGGAAGGACTGTGCCCCTTGCCAGGGTCATTAGTGATTAGGTCATGAGTGAGAGAGAGAGAGCCCTTCGGTGAGGGAGAGGCACAGACATTGGGGTTTTGGAGAGAAACTGAGTCTGAATGAAGCTCCTGCTGGGTTGGGAGGCAGGATATAGACATGAACTCTGTAACCTGCTCCCCCAGACAGCCAGGTGGGCAGGTGGGAAGAAAGTCTCAGGGACCCAGGTCTCATTCACTGAATGATGGGATTTGGTCTCAATTTTGAAGCTTTAAAATTTATGTGGTCACCTCCAAATCATGGGGCAGGGATTTCAAACTGTGTCTGGCCCAGAGTGGGGTCTCAGCTGTTGATCCCTGTTGAAGCATTATCCCCTGAACCCTAATAAGGGAGAGGCAGATCTCCAGAACCCCTGGGCTGTCAAGTGCTGCCCCCTTCTGGTCATGGCAGAGCAGTGTCCAACCCTGAAGCTTGAACAGGGCATGAACTCCTCTGGCCCTGACAGACTGTAGGGGCTGTGACCGACTCGCTGGGTCCTTATCTGAGTGTGGATCATTGTTTTGTTTTCATAACCGAGTGGAAAGTAGTAAAATAGGAACCCCAGGTGTCAGATAAGAAGAGAAGCTTAAAACATATTTCTCATGTATTAAAATCTAGCTTCTTGTTGGCAGCTTTTATAATTCCTATGAAATATGGAGTTAGGTTTTTGATGATTCAAAGTAATTGGTGTTAAGTAAGTGACTGTTCCATAATCGGTTTAGTTATTTGCAGAGAAATTTTTCATTTAGAATATTTTCCAGATCTTTTTATCCAGAAGTATGAAGTGTCAGTCATTTCCGTCGTGTCTGACGCTTTGCAACCTCATGGACTGTATAGCCCTCAGGCTCCTCTGTCCATGGGAGCTCCCAGGCAAGAATACTGCAGTGGGTTGCCATTCCCTTCTCCAGTGGCTCTTCCTAACCCAGGGATTGAACCTGGGCCTCTGGCACTGGAGGTGGATTCTGTACCATCTGATCATGGACTTGTACTTTTAATCTTTTAGACATTTTACTAATCACACATAAGCACTCTTTTTTTTTTTTTTTGAACACTTACAGTTATTGAGAATTTTGTTTACACTTAGTGTATGTAAAGACACAAACACACTTAGCTCTCTTTACCTTAGAACTTAACACATTGTTCAGTAATCTGACTTGCACCTGACATGCCGAGATTTTGTCCTTCTCCCTCAATGTGGATTGTACGCAGCAAACAGCACAGCTCCGTGTTTTGCTATTGCTGTCCCTGTTTAGTCCGGGCAAGAAATGCATGTAACACATATAAAATTTAGCTATTATCACTCTGCCCCACAATGGCATAATTAATGTTTTCATTCCCCATGTTTTGTTGTTGTTGTTCAGTCCCTAAGTCATGAATAACTCTTTGCGACCCCATGGATTGTGGCATGCCAGGCTTCCATGTCCTTCACCATCTCCTGGAGCTTATTCAAACTCACGTCCATTGAGTCAGTGATGCTGTCCAACCATCTCATCCCCTGTCGTCCCTTCTCCTCCTGTCCTCTCTCTTTGCCAGCATCAGGGTCTTTTCTAAGGAGTCAGTTCTTCGCATCAGGTGGCCAAAGTATTGGAGCTTCAGCATCAGTCCTTCCAGTGTATATTCAGGGTTGATTTCCTTTAGGATTGCCTGGTTTGATCTTGCAGTTAAGGGTCTCTCAAGGGTCTTTTTCAGCACCACAATTTGAAAGCATCAATACTTCAGCACTCAGACTTCTTATGGTCCAACTCTCACATCCATACATGACTACTGGAAAATCCATGGCTTTGATTATACGGACCTTTATCGGCAAAGCAATGTCTTTGCTTTTTAATAGGTTTTTCATAGGTATTCTTCCAAGGGGCAAGAATCTTTGAATTTTATGACTGTAGTAACTTCTGAAGTAATTTTGGAGCCCAAGAAAATAAAATCTGCCAGTGTTTCCAATTTTGCCTTTTCTATTTGACATTAAGTGATGGGACCAGATGCCATGATCTTAGTTTTTCAAATGTTGAGTTTTAAGCGAACTGTTTCACTCTCCTCTTTTGCCCTCATCAAGAAACTCTTTGGTTCCTATTCACTTTCTGCCATTAGAGTGGTATCATCTGCATATCTGAGATTGTTTACAGTTCTGTCAGAATTCTAGATTCCAGTTGTGATTCATCTAGCCTGGCATTTTGCATCATGTAGTCTGCATATAAGTCAAGTCAGCAGGGTGACAATACAGCCTTGACATACTTCTTTCCCGATTTTGAACCAGTCCATTATTCCACATTGGCTTCTAACTGTTGCTTCTTGTCCAGCGTACAGGTTTCTCAGATGACAGGTAACATGGTCTGGTATTCCCATCTCCTTGAGAGTTTTCCACAGTTTGTTGTGATCCACAGAGTCAAAGGCTTTAGTGTAGTCAATGAAGCAGAAGTAGATATTTTTCTGGGATTACCTTTTTTTTCTATGATCCAATAGATGTTGGCATTTTGATCTCTGGTTCCTCTGCCATTTCTAAACCCAGCTTGTACATCTGGAATTTTTCAGTTCACGTACTGCTGAAGCCTAGCTTGAAGGATTATGAGCATTACTTTGCTAGCATGTGAAATTAGTGCAATTGTACAATACTTGGAACATTCTTCTGTCCATATGGGAATCTAGTAAAAAAAAAAAAAAGGAACCTTCATAAAGTCAGTTAAAGCTGCTGTAAATCCATAAGATAAGATTTGATATAAGATTTGAGATAAGATTTGATCAGAGGCCTCCAGGACACAGTATCTTAAAATAGGAAAGAGAAAAATGTGGGTTATATTTTGCATATCAATTATGTTGACTATTGTTTTCTTTCTCACTTTGTAAAACAATTTGTGTTACTTTACTGAAATAGGTACACTTTTATAAACTTTAATTTGTAGACATCAGAGACTCCAACCCTACAAGGCCTTTCCTTTACTGTCAGACCTGGTGAACTGTTAGGTGTGGTCGGACCTGTGGGAGCAGGAAAGGTAAGTTATGATGCCTTTTGTCAGCTTGATGCAATGCTGCAACTCCTGTTAAATTCTCAGAGTTGAGCCCAGAGCTATGTGTGACACAGTTTGAATTGAGTATATCTAGAAAAGTATTTCTCTAGGTGTGTTCCATGGAGCATTCATTTTACAAGAAAGTTTTGTGTTCAAATAAAATCTGGATAAATGAGCACTGTGTTTTCCTTCTTGGTGCTTCATGTGGCACAGTTGGGAGCTGCTTGTGGGGAATTTGGATGTCTCAGTGAAGGAAATTATTTATGTGACTGCTGTTCAGGATGCATAGGACTTCTTTTTATCTTTGTGGCCCTTCCAGGAAATCTGGAGGTCATAAAGACACTTACTGGAAGCTTTGAGCATTTCCTCCTGTGACTTGATGTGATCCTGTCAGTGCACGTGTAGTGAATGTGCAGCCACGTGCTGGAGCTAAAGGTACAGATGTGAGCAAGTCCCTGACTCTCTGCCTTTCAGAGGCAACCAGGTTCTGGGGCAAGACAGATATACTGAGATATTATTTCAGCCCAGTGTGGTGAGCGCTCTGATGGTGTGAATACACACATACCATGTCTGAGTGATGTTGAAGATTTGAAGGAAATGTGCACATACACTTGGTCTGAAACAACAAAATAGAAATCTAACGTGGGATGTGGGCTTCCCTGGTGGCTCAGTGATAAAAGATTCTGCCTGCCAATGCAGGAGACAGAGGTTGGGTCGCTGGTCCAGGAAGATTCCACATGCTGGGGAGCAACTAAGCTGGTGTACCATGGCTGTTGGGCCTGTGCTCTAGAGCCTGGGAGCTGCAACTACTGAGCCCACAGATCGCAACTGCTGAAGCCTGCACATTAGAGCCTGTGCTCCTCAACAAGAAAACCCCTGTGCACTGCAATGAAGACCCAGTGCAAGCAAAAATAAATTAAATTAGAATTGTGGTATGGCAGAAACCAACATGACATTATAAAAAATAAAAGAACTAAAAATAAATAAATAAATAATCTTTAAAAATGTGGGACGTGTACACGAAAGGGTGCTGATTTCCTCTATGATGGACTTTTGCTCTGCAGACACAACTCACTTCAGAGTTCTTTCAATTGATCATCTTTGGATATACTCTTCACACGTACTTTTTTAAGAATAAAATACTTGTTTGTCAAATACAGGATACCCAGATGCAGGAGCAACTGGATTAAACATCAGATCCGAGAAATACATATCCTGCTGGGCTGCTCTGCTAGAGAAGGATGTTAACATTCTTAATTATTCTTTGCTGAGTAGAATTTCATTTGGGTGATACTTGGGCAGAGTAGATTGTTTATGCTATTAATATATCCCTTATCAGCCATTGTTTACATTTCAAAAACAAATTTTCATTAGTGTTATTTTCTTTCTTTCTTTTTTTAGTCTCAACTGTGAGGGCTGTACTTTATCCTGTTCTGAAGGAAAGGGTTCTGTCGTGTATCAAGCACCAGGGTGGGGTCGGCTGTGCTGCAGGGTGTGTTCCATCCTGAGTGCTCCCTGTTCACGTGTGTGTGTTCCCGTCTGTTTCAGTCCTCACTGTTAGGTGCTCTGCTCGGGGAGCTGCCCCCGAGCCAGGGGAAGGTCAGCGTGCACGGGAGGATTGCATATGTTTCTCAGCAGCCTTGGGTATTTCCAGGAACTGTGAGGAGTAACATTTTATTTGGGAAGAAATATGAAGAAGAACGATATGAAGAAGTAATAGAGGCTTGTGCTTTGCAACAGGTGAGTAATGACTTCTGAGTTTCATATACTTGAATTTCAAATGATGACAGTGGTTTTAACTACAAGGTTTGTTAAAAGTTCTTTTTAAAAAATGGATTTTTGAATGTTGCTTAATATTTATGTTGGTCTTCTGGGTAAATATGCAGGCATATTTACATATGCTGTCGTTTTAATCCTTATGGGAAAATAACACTCACAGAATACCTTTTCTGAAGGGGAAGGGGGTTGTTTCTTTCTGTGATGTTTCATTCACTTTCAAATTTTTTAAATGGAAACTTACAAAAATTTACCAAGATAGAGAGCATGGTATAATGAACCCTCATGTACCACCCTCAGGTTCAGCCAGGATCAGCAGATGACCAGTCTTGCTGAATCTCTACCCTTGTCCTCTGCCAGCCCCACCCCCACCCCAGAGTATTGTGGAGCAGATCCTAGACCTTAAATTAGTTCATCTGTAAACATTTCATTAGTTTTGTCTAAAACACAGCTGGTTTTAGAAAAGGCCGAGGAACCAGAGATCAAATTGCTAATATCCGCTGGATCATCGAAAAAGCAAGAGAGTTCCAGAAAAACATCTATTTCTACTTTATTGACTACGCCAAAGCCTTCAACTGTGTGGATCACAATAAACTGTGGAAAATTCTGAAAGAGATGGGAATACCAGACCACCTGACCTGCCTCTTGAGAAACCTGTATGCAGGTCAGGAAGCAA